AGCTTGTCTCGCTAGAACAATTACGACTGAGTAGTGAGTTCGATCCTCACTGGGTACTCCATTCTTTCGGCCTTGTCCCACATCTGAACTACGCTTGGAAAATCACTATTAAAGTTTATGTTTCAGTTCGAAAATTCCTGAAGTTTTTACGGATCTACAGACGCCTTTAGAATGCCGAATGTCATAACGTCCGAAATATTGTGATAAAAGATGAAGGACATTAAACAACAAAGATGAAGGAAATTAGTCTGACTGTAAATAATATAAATTATTTTGTCTTTCTGCCTGTCTGTCATACTGTGGATGTGCGGTTGGTGGAACGGTCATCGACGCGGAAAATGGAATCGGCGAACCGACTTCAAATGTGAATCCAGCCTGCGCTAATTTTCGTCTTTCGAAAATCCAGCCTTCTCGCCATCCTTATGACTTAAATATCAGTGCAGGTTGAGTTTTTGGTGGTAGTCAGTCAAAATAAACTAAAACAGAATACAGAACCGTGAAAAATGCAACGGGAAATCACTCCATTATTATTTCCAAGAACGCATGGTAATTCACAAATCATAAAAAAATGAATCGATGGAATGCCGTTTAAAATTGAAGAATTATTTATCTATTGTAGAATTATTTATCTATTGTATGTAAGTGTCTTGTATAGTCTACTGGGAAACATAGCCTCACCACATTCCGGTTGGGTTAGTTATATTCACTTAGGCACAAATATCCTTGAGGATATCAAGAGAACAACATAATGAATGCAAATAAAACGGCATAGATTAACGGACTACAGAAAAATATTGGACTTAAATTTTTGGTTTTCTTCCTTTCTTTCATTCTTTCTCAGTCTTTCTCTCATTTTCTCTTTCTCTTTTCCTCACTATTTCTCTATTTCTCCCCTTTCAATTAAACTGCCTCTCTCAGTTTCTATTTTATCACTTTCTCTCTCTCTCTCTCTCTCTCTCTCTCTCTCTCTCTCTCTCTCTCTCTCGGCTTACGGTCGCACCACGTTGAAACACCGGTTCCCGTAAGATCACTGGAGTTAAGCAAAATTGAACCCGGTCAGTACCAAGACGGGTGACCGCTTGTGAATACTAAATGCTGTAAGCATGGATATGCGGGTGGTGTAATAGATAATGGCTGGGAATTGTTAATCAAAGAGCCGAGTTCCAATTACTGTTGAATTTGTTATATTCACTTACGCAGAAAGACCCTTGCGAAAAGTATGAATACACCTCTTCTATCTTGTATTAGACTTGTATTACTAAACCATCATTATCTAAAAAATACTTTTACAATCTAAAAATATTTCCTGGCTTTAAATAACCTGCAAAGGGTTGATAATCCGTAGACAATGAATCAATTAATGAAAGAACTATATCTCTACCTCTATCCATCCCCTCTTTCGCAAGTAAATTGGTTATTTCTCTCTCTCTCTCTCTCTCTCTCTCTCTCTCTCTCTCTCTCTCTCTCTCTATATATATATATAGGAATGCCAAAGCTGGACACCAAAATACGGGTTTATAGAGCAGCCATTTTGACCACACTGTTGAATCATGGACATCCATATAGGTCCCATATCAAAGGATGGATGTCTTTCAGAAGAGTTGTCTCCCCTTGATCTATGGTTGTACATTTGATGATAGGGCGTCCATTGCTGACCTTCCCACAATATGAAACATTGGTGGAATTGAAACTTTCCTATACAGTCACAGATTCGCAGGGCTGGTCATGTTGCAGGGATGAGTGATGACAGAATACCTAAGGTCCTCAAGTTAGCCAGCTTGACAGTGGACAAAGGAGAGTTGGACGACCGTGGCTCAGGTATAGAGACAAGCTCAAGTGTAACCTCTGTCAATGTGCCACATACTAACTTCTACTAAAGACTGTGTTGGGCAATGGACCGTTTCATCAACCCTTGTATGTATCGAAACGTTCAAATCCACCAGCTGCCTTCTGGCCCAAAGCAGATTCGAGGTGCCAGACAACGTCCGCAAGTTCATCAATTTACAGACGCACCTATACAGATTGGTAGGAAGAAGTTGAAATCATTTACATATTTAGGAAGCAAGATAGTTGTGAATGCACCCTTGATAACGAATTAATAAATAGGAACGCCAAAGCTAAAAGTGAATTTAGGAAGCATTGCTGCCTTTTTAAATTTAATATTTGCCAGAGTTCAGTATCTTGAATTTGTAATTTAAATGTCGGACTCTTATATATATATATATATATATATATATATATATATATATATATAATTATTTTTATAAAAAATAATTATATCTGCTCTACTTTGTATTGAGCATTCTTTTAAGAATAGTAATTGTTGGTTATTGGAATTCATTCCGTATATACCAATTATATACTTGTATATATATATATATATATATATATATATATATATATATATATATATATATATATATATATATATATAAATGCCTGACAACCCATACATTCTGTCCTCTTAAAACTGTTATTTAGCTCTTTTTCTCTCTATCCT